CACACATGCACACGTGTGCACACACCCACACGTGGACATATACACACGTGTGCACACACCCACACACGGACACTTACAGACACATGCTCACACATACACATGCACACACGTGTGCATGCATACCCACATGTGGACACATACAGACACATGCACACACACACACACACGGTGCCAGCCCCCACACACCCGTGGTCCCTCAGTGCCCCTGGCAGGAACTTCTGCCCTGTCCAGTCATGTCACTTTCTGCGGGGCTTTGTGCCCAAGCTCTGCTTGTCCCTCTGTCTCCGCTTGGAGGTCCGGACTCTGACCATGGCCACCATTCCCGGGCCTGGAGCCAAGGGAAGCCCCTGCCCGTGCCCAGGCTCTTGAAGGCAGCAGTGCCCACAGGTGAATGGGGCTTGGCCCAGGCTGACAGAGCAGACAGTGCCCGGACATTGGCCCCAGAGGCAGAGAAGCTGTTCCTGGAGGCTCCTCCTTGCAGGCGTAGGCTGCAGAGAGCCTGATCTGAGTGGAGAGCCCCTGCAAACACCCAGCCCTGGAAATGGTGGAAGATGAGGCAGGAGTGAGGGAGTACAGACCTGCTGGGCAGAGAGGAGCAGGGGCCCGAGTGGGATCTCCTCTGCCAACAGCCACAGGCAGCACGGCCCCTCTGGGCTGCCCCCAAGACCCTCTGTGCACCCCAGGCCCTTGGGAACCTGAGCTCCAGATGCCCCAAAGGGGCCAGTTATGCAGGGCTGCAGACCCCCCTGAAAGTCCTCAGCCTGTCCACCCCAGTGTCACCCTCCATGGAGCCTCGGGGTTCTATCTGAGCCCTTGGCCCTCGAGGACTGGCAGGGCAGACAGCCGGCCAGGGCCCCACACGGGCTCTCCCACCAGCCATGCACTCTGAAACGGAAAGACAGCAGGAATCTCACTAGGAATCAAGGAGGTCCCCCTCGGGCCCAGGCACGTGCCAGCCTCGCTGGTCTCAGTGGTCAGGGGCACACCCACACCCCAGACCGCAGCCGGCAGAAGGCCCTGCTCCCTGCCTCTCTCCGGGTGGCCCTGGCCGTGCGGCCCTGCCCTGCTCCAGCCCGGCCACATCCCTGTGTCTGTGTTGTTCTGCTGCGCTCTCTGCCACCCCATGGCTCCCACACAAGGTGCTCGGCGTCACCCCTGCTCTGCTTTGGCCACGTTCGGCCTCTACCTCACCCTCTGTCTCAGGCTGCCAAGGCCCGGCTAGCGCCTGGCTTAGACGCTTCCCAACCGAGCCCAGGAGCCCTGGGCCCCACGAGGCGGGTGCGGAGAAGGAGACTGTGGGGCTGGGAGTCACGCGCACCCTTGGCCCCCCGGGGGCAGCACAGCCGAGGCCCAAGGGCGGCTCTGGGGCCAGGCCTTGCTGCAGGGCGGCCTGACCCCTCTGTGCTGTGTTCCCTGCAGGGGGGGAGGTGAGTGCCGATGAGGAAGGCTTCGAGAACCTGAACACCATGGCGTCTACCTTCATTGTCCTCTTCCTCCTCAGCGTCTTCTATAGCACAACAGTGACACTGTTCAAGGTAGCCGCAGGGCTGGCACAGGGGGCGGGCGGGGAGGCGCACGCGGCCCAGGGCAGCGGGAACACAGCTCACGCCGTCTGTCATCTGCAGGTGAAATGACCGGCCAGCCAAGAACATCAGAGGCCCGGGACGTGTGCCCAGGGGGCAGCCCGCGGAGCCCGTCAGCTGGTCCTCAGATCCGCCCCACATCACCCCCTCCCGCTTCCAGCTCCGAGACGCGGCCGCGTGTCTTCGAGTCCGCTCCGAGCGTTGTTTTGCAATGTACACGCATGTCACCTTCAAATAAACATGTATATTTTATCTTAAAAAACTGCTTCCTTGTGCAGGCTTTTTGTCCCAAAGTGCACTCCCGGTGTGTCGAGTGTGTCAAGGGCCTGTGGGAAAGGGAGGTCCGTCTGCACACAAGCCCGCCAGAGGACGTGCCGGCAAAGGGGGCCCGGTGGTGGGACCCAGGGTCTCGGGCACATCCCATCTGCTGAAGGACGCAGCCGAGCTGGGCACAGTCCCAGGCCTGACCTCCCGGACACGGCGGGACCCAGGAGCCAGGCTTGGGCCTCGGGGGGTTTGTGTGCAACCGCACGATGCACGGTCCCCGTCTCCATCCCCGGCCGGCCCGGCCGCCCAACGGGCTTGTCCCACGCTTCCTGGTGCCTGGGGTGTGTGGGACTGAGACCGGCAGGAGCACAGGGGGCTGACCCTGCCGTTGGACTGCGCCCTGACCGCTGTGTGGACGGCAGCAGGAGTTTCTGGGGAACCGGTGAGGAGAGTACCTGCCGGGGAGCGGCGCGGGGTGGGGACGGCTCTGCGTGTCCGCATCACTGCACGGGAAGGGCAGGCGGTGCCAGGCCCGGGAGCCATGGCGGAGGCGGGCCGCGGCAAACGGGGTGCGGGACCCGTGTGGGGGCCTTGCCCGGCCACCGTGCAGATGGCAGGAGGGGCCCCCAGGCCGTGAAGTGGTGGCAGCGAAGGTCTGGAGGGCGGCAGGGGAGGGCAGAGAGGGGAGGCACAGACCCCATACAGCTGAGGGGTTGGGGCCGGCAGCTCGCAGGTCCCCGGGACACCTGTCCCCTGTGTGCGCTCCGGGGGGGGACACTTCGAGGCTCTGGCTTCGTTTTGGTTACACGGACCCGCCCCCCGGCCCAACCTCACAGGCTGAGGGGGGTCCAACAAGGTGCGGGCCGCGGCTGGGGGCTCTTGTGCCCATGGGGAGGGGGGCTGTCAGCTCAAGATGGCCCCTGCGCTGCGTTTGTGCCCAAGGACCCCTGACAGGGGGCTTGCATGACAGAAATTCAATCGTCTAGACATCAGGTGTCCCATGGGGGTGTCGGCAGGGCCGGGCCCCCGGGCTGGGAGGGAGAGTCCGTTCCAGGAGGCCTTCTGGTGGCTGCCGCCGTCTTTGGCGTCCCCGGGCTTGGAGGTGCCATCTCCGCGCTGTCTGCCCCCGTGCGCATGTTCCAGACCCCCCCTTTGATAAGGACATCGGTCGGGTGGGATCAGGGTCTCAGCCTCCACGATCCTGTTCCCAAACAAGGGCCCATTCTGGGGCACTGGGGCGGCAGGATTTCAGTACATAAACCGGGGCTCACAATCTAAGCCGTAACCGTCCACCCCGGCCCCCGAAACTCGTGTCCTTTTCCCAAGCAAAACACTTCGCTGAACAACTCCCGAAATCACCCCACTGAGCAGCAACCCTGCGTCCAAAATCAGCTGAATCGGGAAGAGGCAAGACATGCGTGTGACTGAGCCCGGGGTGCAGGGTAGACGGGCCCGTCCCGGCAGGCAGGGACCCGAAGCAAGAGAGGCCAGGTCCGGCAGGGCTCCCCATTAGGTGCTAAGGCTCCGGAAGAATCCGCCTGGCCCCAGGCTCTGTCTTCCGAGCTGGCGCCCGAGGCCTGGGTCCTCTGCGACCCCTTGGCAGCCCCGCCGGCCTCTGCGTCCGCGGCTCCGTCTCAGCGCGAGCCGCCCTCTGCTTCCGTCGGGCAGGCGCGTTTACGTGAGATTCTCAGAAACCTTGTTGGCATCCCAGGCAGTTCCTGGGACGAGTCCACCTCCAGGCGCCTTTCCTGGGGAACCGCATGGCTGCTCCTGGTTCCTCTCAGACGCTTGCTGGGACCACATGCGCCATCCGCCGTGGGAGGCGCCCGGCCAGACCCGCAGAGACCTTCCCAAGGCTCCTAGTTGTGGCTCCGCGTGCGGCCGCCTCACACGTTCCCGGCAGCGGCGAGCAGGGCCAGGCCGTCTGCACTGTGCGTGGACGGCTCCTCAGCCAAGTGCCCCCGGCCGGCGCTCTCCGAGCCCAGACACGCCGGCGGCCCAGCTCCCCCATTCCGCGTCCTCGGCAGAGTCACCCTTCCCACCGAATTCCACCAACAGTCTTCAGGACAATTTGGCTGTTTCTTTTCTTTTTTTTTTTTTTTTTTTAAAGATTTTATTTATTTATTTGAGAGAGAGAATGAGAGACAGAGAACATGAGAGGGAGGAGGGTCAGAGGGAGAAGCAGACCCCCCGCTGAGCAGGGAGGCCGATGCGGGACTCGATCCCGGGACTCCAGGATCATGACCCGAGCCGAAGGCAGTCGCTTAACCAACTGAGCCGCCCAGGCGCCCCAATTTGGCTGTTTCTGACGTGCCCCTCCAACACCAGCCTCTGCCGGTCAGCCGGTTCCAAAGCCACGTCCACGTTTCTAGCTGTTTGTTGCAGCTCACTCCACTCTGCTTCCAAAATCGGCTTTTGTTTCCTGCGGGCGCCGGAACCACATACATTTCTCCTCCGTTCTGGGGTCCGGGAGCCCGAGATCGGGGTGGGGGGGTGTAGGTTGCCGCTGGGGCGGTGAGGGGGTTCGCGCCTCTGCAGCGTGGCGGCTGCCGGCCGTGGGCGACCCTTGGTCTTCCTGCCGCGCATCCCTCCGACCCCCAGCTCATCTGCACACAGCACGTGTGTCCCCTTTCGCAAGGACGGGCATACTGGGTTTGGAGCCCACCCTCTGGCACTATGACCTCATCGAATTATTAATTCGCCCCCTAGCGCCTTATCTCCAAGTGAGGTCACGTTCTGAGGCATGGGGGTTAGGACGCAGTTGGGCCCACAAGCCCACCCACGCCTGGCGTCTCCCGCACGGCGAGGGAACCCGGGGACACTGTGCAGGCAGTGGGGGCCCCCGGGACATGGGTGGGAGATAGTCCTGCCGGGGAAGCCCAGGAAAAGGCGGGGGCAGGCTGGCCAGGTGCTTGGGAGAGCACACAGGTGGGTCCTGCCCCAGGGGGCCCATGCAGCGGCCACAGGTGGCAGCCCGGCTGGCCGGCTGGAGAACGGGCACGTCTGAGCAATGGCAGCGTGGTGCCCGGGGGCTTGGCCCAGAGTGGGGGCCACAGACGATGGCGGCGGGGCCGTCAGGGACAAAGGCAGGGACCCCGCACTCCCTCGGCCGCCCTTGCCCAGCCAGGCCCCCAGGGAGAGAACAAGGGGACTGGAGCCGGCCCGCCAGGGAATCTCATTCAGGGCCCTGCCTCCCCCGGGCCCAGGGTCCATGAGTGACAGCCCCATGGGCCCAGACACTGCAGGGCGGCCTGCACCCCAGCCCAGGCATGGCCAAAGGCCTCCCGTGAAAACAAAGCACTCACGGGCCTGGACCCCAAGCCGCAGAGCCCCGGGGGCAGGCACTGCGGACGGTTGCGTCTGCTCCCACCCGCTCGTCCCGGAACCGCACAGAAGTCCAGCCACAGGCCCCTCTGCAGGCAAAGGGGACCCAGGCCTCCTGCGGGACGGCCCAGGGCCAGCATCCGGAGGCCTGGGGGGGACACAGGGCCCCAGGGCCCGCCACCAGGGCAGCAAGGGCTCTGCAGCGGGGGGAGCACCCTTTATTGTCCCCCCGCACCCTGCACCCTCCCTCCGCGGCCCCAGCCTCACAACCCCCGTCTGTCTTCCAGACTCCAAGACGCTGGATCTGTTCCCCTTGGTCTCAGGATGTGAAGCCCCGAATGAAGGCAACCCCATAGGCCTGGCCTGCTTGGCACGAGGACCCTCCGTAGAGTCGGTGCAGGTCAGCTTGAGCCCCGGGGCGCAGGACCAGAGGCAGAAGACCCCCCTGATCGTGCTGGGGACGCACGGGCACACTCGGCTGTCCGTCCTGATGGCCAGCTGGAAGCCGGGCCCACACCACTGCAGAGCCACCGTCAGGGGGGGGCGCCCCCCCAGCAACGAGCTGCGGAAGGACATCCAGTGGCCAGGTGGGTGGTCCACAGGCCCCCGGGACGGCCTCCAGGGTCTCCCGCTCCTTGCACCCCGAGGACGACGGGGCACCTGGGCCCAGCGTGCAAGACAGAGTCTGTGGCCGAGTGTGGGGCCTCCCATGGCCCAGTCCGCACCGTGCAGCCCACTGGCACCTCCCTCCCGCCATCCTCCGTCCTCCCGGCCACCAGGCATGCACCGTCTGATCCCCCCGACTCTCCCTCTGGTTTCAGCGTCCTGGGAAGTGAGGACCTCCCGGTCGACTCGCAGGCCGTCCCTACCAGAGGACTCCACCAGAGCCCCCAGCACTGCCAGGGTCCCAGGTGAGGACCCCCACCCCAGCACGCCCACTCCTGCCTTCTGTCCCTTGGGCTGACTCCTTCAGGCAGCCCTCCCTGACTTCTCTGGGTCGGGAAGGGCAGGCACTGAGGAGGTGCGCACGGAGCACCGACCACACGGCAGGCCCTCTGCGGGCACCAGCAGACGCCCCCTCAGGCCCCTTGTGAATAGGAGACCCCCCGACACCTGCAGAGAGCACAGCGCACGGGGCGGGACGCCCTAGGCCTCAGACGTGAGCCTGTCCCCGAGCCCCACGTGGGCACACGTGGACGACGCGGCCAGCCGGGCGGAACCTGGCCCCGTGACTGTTACAGAGCATGCCACCGAAGGCTCAGGAGCCGGGACAGTGGACCCAGGGGTCCCTGCAGCAGGTGACCCCCAGCCGGCTGCCTGTCCGAGGGCCACGTGGGGTCACAGCCGCCCTGCCTGCCCCTTGGGGACGGTCCGGTGCTCGCTCCTCTGAGTGGGGCAGCAAGCTGTGTTCGCAGACAGAGAAGGGCAGCCCCAGCACCAGCCCTCTGGGGCGTTGGTGAGGCCCACACGAGGGGCAGGGGCTGTGGTCGGCTGTGGCCCCTCCGTGGGCCCTCCACAGTCCACCGCACCTGTGACCACCCCATCTCCGAACACCAGTGCCCCGGCTCAGCACGGCCCGGTCAGACCCAGAGGGGACCGGGCAGCAAGGAGAGGATGCCGAATGCCACCTTGGCCTGGGGCAGGGGTACTTGCCGGACCCTGTCCATGCAGGGCACGTGCACCGGCTGACCGGGAGTCGGGCCCAGGCAGAGCTCCGGGGAGACCCTGCAGACAGGCTGTGTGGGCCTCCAGGGGAAGATGAGCTCCGTGGGGCAGACTGGGCCGCGCTGACCCCACGAGCCCAGCCCTCCGAACAGGCCAGCTTTCTCCACCCCAGAGGGCCACACGGGCCACAGCCCAGAACTGTCTCCTACAAGCTGGGAATGCTGTTTTAGCTGGATGCGGGCGGGGGGGCGTGGAACGGAGACCCAGGAGCCCCATGTAACTGCAAAGCCTAAATATTTACTATCTGGCCCTTTACAGAACAAACTTGCGGGCGCCTAGTCTGTCCCAAACCTAAGGCCCGATAACGTCCTGGCTGCCCTCACCCTAACCGTAGAGGGTACTGGGGCATGATGACCCCGCAGGAGCCCTGGCGAGGGGCCAGCAGCGGGTGGGGTAGGTCTCCGGACCCCAGAGAGCAGGAAGGCTGAGGGGCCCAGGGAGGCCACGGCCCTGACGACAAGTCCTGCCGGTCTCACCCCCTCTTCTCCCCGCAGTGCCCTCCGCCAGCCACACCCTGACGCAAGCCACGGAGCCAAGAAGCCCAGTGGACACCATGCTCAGAGGCCAGTTCCTTGGGGCACAGAGTGGGAGGAGGAGGGACTGGGGAACCTGGGGAACCTGGGGAAGTCCTGCCCTGCGAGCCCCCAGCCCGGCAGCGGGAGGCCAGGAAGCAGCAAAGGGGGCTCTGCACGGGGCGTGTGGCAGACCTGGGCCTGGCACTGCCCACAACACCACCCCCAGGCTGGTCCCCAGCTGCCCGAGGGCCCCCGCTGACCTCTGCCTGCTGACCGAGCTCGCGGTCCTCTGGCAGGCTGCGGGAACCACACCCACCCTCCCAGCCTCTCCTGCACGCTAAGCCAGCCCAGCACGCCTTCCCAGGTGGCGCCCACAGCACCAGGCGGGCACGGTGAGGCCCGCTCCCAGGCCCAGGACACGGGGTGGCTGGGGGCCCTGCACACGCACCCCTGCCCAGCCCAGCCCTCCTCCCACAAGGAGACACCAAGGGGGTGGGGACCCGCCCCCCGGGCCGCCCAGCTTCGCCCAGCCTCAGGTGGCCCCAGCATGACCGGGCTTCTCTCCGTAGCTGCCACAGCGCCCTGCTGCCTCGCCGTCCGCGCCCTGACCGTGCCCCAGGTGGCCTCCTGGCTCCTGTGTGAGGTGTCTGGCTTCTCGCCCCCGGACATCCTCCTCACCTGGCGCCAGGGCCGGACGGAGGTGGACCCTGCTGGGTTTGCCACTGCACGCCCCACAGCCCAGCCTGGGAGGAGCACGTTCCAGACCTGGAGCGTCCTGCGCGTCCTCGCCGCCCAGGACCCTGGCCCGGCCACCTACACGTGCGTGGCCAGGCACGACGCCTCCCGGAAGCTGCTCAACTCCAGCTGGAGCCTGGACACTGGTGAGTCATTCGCGGGCCTGAGGGCTCCCGCCCCAGCCTCCTCCCAGCGCAGGGCAGGGGCGGAGGGGCAGCCCCCCGGGAGCTGAACGGCTGGGTCCTGGGGCTGTGGCCAAGGGCTGCACCACCCACCCGGACCTCCCCACCCGGGCCTGCTCGGCTCTGCTCGGCGTCTGGGGTGGGCTTTGGATGCCCCGACACCTGTCGCGCCAAAGTCTGTCCTCATGTCTACACCCACGGGCTGGACTAGGACGGGTGGGAGGCGGCTGTCACCCCCGCCAGGCCCCAAAGAACAGCCGTTCCCCACCAAGATACGCCGCACCGCTGGGCGCAGAACAGGGGCCGCCCCTGGGGAGGGTGGCCATCCCAGACACCGCCTTCCAGGGGCATCTGAGCCTCCCCAAGCCCCAGGCCCCCCAGTGGTCTGGGAGAACAGCCAGCACCTCAGGAGCCAGATACGCCCAGAAGTGGGAGCTGGTCTCGGTGCCCGGGGACGTCTGACCAGCACAGGCCCACAACGGGCCCCGACTGCAGGCCGCCTGCGGGGCAGAGGGCACGGAGGCCCGCCAGGGTGGGGCTCATGGTGGAAGTTTAGGGCTTACTGTCCCCTCTGAGGCCCTCGTCAGACCCCCTTGCCACCCCGTCACGGGGCAGCACCCTGACAAGAGCCCCCTCCTGGCCCGGCAAGGCCCTGGCAGGACTGTGCTGGACACCTTAGGCCAAGCAGGCAGCAGGATGCCATCCTCCTCCTGCTCGTGGAGGGGCAGCAGGCGGTCTGGGCGCCGGGTGCTGGGAGGGGGAAGGTGCCCAGTGGAGGCCCACGGCAGCAATGTGGGGGGCATGCAGGAAGGCCGTGCCGGGCTCCATAGCTGGGACACCCCGCCAACAGCCCAGACCCTGCCTTGGGCATCCCCCCACCGATGAGAGCGCTGGCCCTACTCTGTCCTATAGCCAGGCTTGGCAGTGCTGGCAGCCTGCTGGGCAGCAGCCCATGGGGGCCCCAGAGAGGCGGCGGCTCCTCAGCCCCCCGGCCCGCTTGCCTCTGCCCCCTCAGGCCTCCCCCAAAGTCCCGGTGCCAGGCACTGTCTGCCTACTTACGCGGGGACCCTTTTTCCTCAGCCTGTCTTCTCGGCCTTGCCCCCTTTCCCGCTGGGTGCCCCCTGCGCTGGGCCACCTGTCATGGCTCATGTCCCCAGGGTCTGTGTTCTCTGGCCCCCAGAGCAGCCTCCTGGCCCTGCTTATCCTCCCTCCTCTGGGCTCCCTGAGGGCCAAGTCCACGCTGACACTCCTCCGGGTTCCACCGTCCTACCGCCAGCTGCCCCCAGGCACAGACCCGGCCTCTCCAAGGTCTGAGGTCACAGGTGGGGGTAGACGAGCGCCCTGGACAGACTCAGTCAAGGCTGGAGACTGACCTGCGTCATGCACGAGCCCCAGCTGCAGACTCCGGGTCACCGGAGCACACAGAGTCCCGCAGTGGAGAGGCAGGACAGCCCAGCGGGCAGGGCTCAGCTCAGATGAGGGGTCCTGGCCCCAGCGCTCCCCCCACCGGACCGTGGCATCCATGCCTGCGGTTGCCGGGCTGCTCAGCCAAGCCTCGCCCAGCACCTGCCCCTGCGAGCACGTATGGAGCAGGGCAGGAGCGCGTGGAGGCGTGCGAGCGAGCGGGGACGGCCAAGCCTCCCCAGTGCCCAGCCCTCTCCCTGCACCTGCAGCCGTGCGTCCCGTCCCCAAGCGTGGACTCAGAGCCTCCAGAGCCCAAACATGCCACATCTTCCTGCAGGGGCAGAGGTACGTCCACCTGCCAGGGTCACACACTCTGGAGACAGGATGCGCTGCAGAGGACGCCAGGGGCCTGGCGTGCCCCCAGGGCCCCCGGGAGCGAGTGGGGAGAAAGCCCTCACCAGCCCACCAAGGGCTGCTCAGGGAGGCAGCTGGGGCCCTGCCCATATCTCCTAGACCCCTCCTCCAGCCAGGTGGGGGCAGCTGGAACCACTCCCCCGGTTTAGGCCACCGCAGCCCCTTGGAATGAGCCCGTCCTCCACGGCTCAGCAGGGTCTCAGCCGCGTCCCCCCTGCAGCTGAGCACCCTCCTTCCTTCCACTGCAGCTGAGGCTTTGCTTCTGGGGGTCCCGCTCGCTCTCCTCACAGGACCCCCAGGCTCCCCGCATCCTGCATCCACAGGCCTGTCCTCTGTCTCAGCCCAGCACAGCCCCTTGTTCCCGAACAGCAGTATGCTCAGCACAGGCCTGGCGCACGGGCAGCCACGATGACTGGGGGACACTTGTGCTCCGCAGGATCACCGTAAAATAACACCCCCCCAACCTGGTCCTGCTTCCCATCTCGCAGGAGGGCTGCATGCGCCCAGGTCCCACAAACAGAAGTCAGGGGGCTCTCCAGCGCCCGGACCTCCAGCCCTTCTGCTTCTCTCAGCCCCACCCTGGGCCCTCCCCCGCTAATCACAGTGCCCTCCCTGCTGGTCTCTTGCTGCAAGCCGTCCCCCTCAGCCCAGCCTTGCTCCACAACAAAGGGACTTCTGAGCCTCCAGTTAGGATGTAGGAGATGAGGAAGGACTGTCAGGCCCACAGGAACAAATAGACAACACCACATACATTCTATAAACCATGCTTATTTAAAGCCACTAAAGAGCTGGGGACTCACAGAGGTCCAGCTGGTGACCCGGCTCCTACAAAGAGAACATTGTCGGCCACCTTACC